GAAGTAAATAGTAAATAACCTCAAAAGTGCAACAAGTCTCGGACAAAAAAATTGCTTTCACAAATAAACCTAGGTGAAGAACTTTTGGGGGTGATATTCATGGTGAAGCTAGTGAAAAACAAATGGTAGTTGACAATGAAAAAACTATAATCCACTACCTTTGTCTCTGCTTTTGCCCTTAAAGCAAGGTAATTACTCCAAAGACAAGAGTTTGCTAGAAAAACTGCATGTCTTACATTCAGGAAGAAAAGTAAAATCATAAAAAAAATAAATCTAGTTATACATTCTCATTTATCAGGAATACTCTAACCACAAATAGAGCTCCATTTGAACTACCTGTTTAAGTGAGATATCTTGAAAGGATTTTTATACTATGCAATTAGCTGAGAGCTGTGTTGCATCTCTCATGTGGGTAAGGCAGCTGRCAGGAGCATGTCTTGTTTGGAGTCTTAGTTCACTGCAGGTATTTTTGCCCCAAGACATTCTGGGTTTGCAAAATATGCAACTTTTATTAGCACTATTGACTCAATTATTTTTTAACATTTTAGGAATTATTCTGGTTGTAGAATACGCATTTCCATACCTCTCACTGCAGCTTGCCCACTTAGAATTTCATCTTATTTCCATCCWGAAAGGAAAGAGTGGTTTTGATGTGACCATCAGAATTGGAATAAATCTTAAAGACCACCTCATTCCAACTCCCCCACTTTGCCATGGGCACCAAGACCTTCCATTAGACCAGGTTGCCCAAATCCCCATCCAACCCAACCTTAAACACTTCCAGGGATGGGGCATCCACAGCTTCTCTGGGCAACATTCCAGGGCCTCTCTACCCTCAGAGCAAAAAATTTCTTCCTAATAACTAATCTTAAAATGTCATCTTTCAGCTTAAAGCCGTTCCTCCTTGTTCTGTTTCATTTCCCCTTTTCCTATCACGGAGATGAGATACTTGCAGAGATTAGCAGGAAACACTGATAGGAATTTGTTTTTATTGTAAGGCACAAACACTTTCAAAATTCTTGGTCGGGTTRTCCTATTCTAGTCAGTTTAGTTTTCAAGTAATTTGAGAAATCTTTATTGCTTAAAAATATGCCTTTATAGACAAAATGGCTTTTATAACCAAATTTTCACACATCTGAACTTCCTTGGAAAAAAAAACAAAACCAAACCTTAGAGTCACAGTTAGAGGTATACTGTATTTAAAAGGACCATTTCACCCTGAATGTAAATGTTTTACAATTGAAAAAAAAGAAGTAAAGGAAAACATTATTGTGATTTCAAATGGGTTTTGGCAGATGACATATGTTCCCCAAAAGCATACTTTGGGGACATGGGCCTTGACAGAAGAAAAGTACTAAAAGAATGAGCAACCAAGTGATATATTCCATCTTTGTTTTCAGTAATGCTATCATTTGTAACAATTACAGCAACAACAACAACAAATGAGTATTCATAAAGCAACAGCTGTCCTTCTCTTCAAACTACTCTTAAAGCTCATCTCTGTCATGATGTTTGCAAAAAATTGACAGTGGTTAGGCAGATGATATTCTGCAATTGCTTATTACTCATTCCAAAGATGAGAATAAATTCATCCCTAAACAGTCTCTTATATCTCCTTTTTGTATTTGTCTTGGTGAATAGGGACTATATTTTCCCCTATGTTCCAAACATAGGTTATAATGATAGAGACCCTAGATGTCATCAATATTAAAGGAAAAGGGAACAAATCATGTTTTCCACTAAAGCAAAAGTTCTCTGTTATAGATGATTACAGACAGCAAATGGCTCTCATATTTACACTAGGTAATAATTTACTCCCATAAGTCATGAAATTACATTTAATCGTTTCTTTTAGGTAACTATATAATATTAAACAATCTGATGTTTTAAATGTCAAGCTGAAAGAAATTCACAGAGCATGTCTCTCCAGGTAACAGAGGAATGCTGACATTAAACTGCAGACAGGAACAGTGTTAATAAAAAAAAATTAAAAAAAAACCAAAAAAAAACCCCAAAAACAAAACAAACAAACAAAAAAAACTTATTTCCAGTATAACCCCAGAGGTAATTTTTGGGATACATCACAAGAGAATTTCAGGCAAATAAAGAACTCTTTAGGTATACTGCTGAGATTTGACACTATCAAAACAGCTAGTTTTTGTGAGCTGCCTAAAAATTCCTTAGCTATTGCTGTTTCTAGCACAAGTCATTTAAAACCTTGATATCAGGACTAGTATGATTGTAGCTCCAGGGGTACAGGCAGCAAGATTCATCTGTCACCTTGTCTCCACCTAGTACAGATCTATGTGATAGGTACTCTCAAAATATCTTATCACACTGGATTTCTCAACACACAAACCATGAGGAAATGTGGAGGTGAAAAAAGCTGTCCTAAAATTCCAGTGCTTCAAGAACCCTTTCGAATACTGGAGAATCAGCTTTTAATTTTGCTGAAATTTGAAATTCCTCTCTCTGGAACAGGGATTTCTAACTCCCAAGAGAACAGCCCAGTCCTGAGGGCATGGGCATGCTCTAGGAAAACTGGGTTTCTCCAATTCTGAATGTTTGGGGGCAGGGAAGGGGGAAAAAGAAATGGAAATACATTCTCCATTCATCTGAAAACAATCTGATGATCAGATGATTCATATCAGTGAAGTATTAGAGAGCTATATAGAATAYTCTAAAGATAAAAATCTCCTCTGAATATGTATATAAAAGCTTGAATGATTTTTTGAGTGCTTCAACAACTTCAGCAGTAACCCATGAAGCACAGGGCTGGAATTGTTCAAACAGTAGCTAATATTCAAATAACCCATCAAAACCATATTTCCAACAGACTGGCATCATGAAAAGAATTTTGGATAAAGGGGAACAGATGAAGAGAAATAGCAAAAAGAACTCAGAGGAGCTGTCAAAGTCCCCCAGGACAGCTTTAGACAGAATTAGGACACCATTTGCAGGGAAAGTTGTTGTTATGGACACTGAAGGCTTAGCCCCAGCTCTGCATGAAGAAAGCAGTCAGAGAGGAACCTGACTGTTCCCACTCCGATCAGAATTAAATTTACATTTATTTAGTCCCATAACCTGTGGATTCCAAATTTGAAAGCAGAAGTTCAGCCACAGACTGGACTTTAATCTTGGAAACATATCCAGGTGAAAGAGAAAAAACCCTGGGGAGTCCTTTCTGTAGGAAATCTGAACAAGATTGGGATATGGAAGCACACACAGGACACCRATACATCCTTCAGAGAGTCAGGAGTTAAAGACCACTAGTCCAAGTGAAATAYTGGCAGGTAGCACTGGGTAGCTGCRAGTACAGGTAGAGAGATACCATCTGGGAGGTGTTAAGTGATACTCTGGAAAAGCACYTCCCCTCTGCAGAGAGGCGGTGGCACACAGCAGGTTCACAGCCCTAACATGGTGTTTCAGCGCTTACCTCAGCATCCCTGGCTGCTAAATCCCAATTATAAATCACAGCACYGGCTTGTACCTGACTTTCCCATGTCTTTGGTAAGTGCTGTAGGCACTTTCTTTTTCTTTCCTCTTCCTGGCCCAAAGCTCGGCATAATTAATCTTTGATTAGAGATTAAAAACAGCTTTAGAAAAAGGCAGATGGCTCCCAGAACAACACAGACGGTGGTGATGGGATATTCTTASTGAAAGCAAAAATCTAAATTCTGCACCAAATAAGACTGACATTTATAAAAATCCCGCTGGGACATTAGGCCCCAGATGCAGATGATTCTTTTTGCCATGAAAGGGGGATAATCGGGAATGGAGTCCAAGGGGCATTTTCTTCTTAGGAACCTCCAGTCCAGCTGGGCACACTATTCTGAGAAGCTGGACCCTGACCTCTCACTCCTGCATTTCCTAATGGTTAGTTTTAGACATTTCCCCACCTTGCTATTTCCTCACACTCCTAGCATCTCCCAGTGCACAGTGTGAGGCTTCTCAGCAACTTGAGTTATATAAATTTCAATAGACAATGCAGTGTCCAAGAGTTAGGGAACAAAGTGACTTCAGTTGCCAGAGCTCTTTGCTAGTATTGAGTCAATTATTTATTCTGCAGTGATACAATCAATGTTTTSAACCATTTGCAGAGTAGATATTATTAGCTAAACAGTCAAATTATCAAATTATTGTATTTCCAGACTGTGGAATATACCCTGGCTTTCTGACAGAGTGGGAGTAGGAGGAGGAGAGTAAATATTTCTCTTAGAAGTACTAAGAGACTGAAGAGACATCATTATAAATACACATGGAAATACAGAACACTAGGAAGTAGCAACCAATTAAAGCCTTTATATCTCTCTGTGTCTTATCTCTGCCTCAATTCTTATCTTATAAAACCTTTGAATAGAAAAGACCATTCTAAAGGCAGTAAGTGGAGTCCAAGATAGATAAGTGATTATAAAGTCTCTAAAGGCACACAGGGTTTTTAGAAGTAAGGATATAATTTAGAAATTGATACAACCTCTGAATACTCAGCCACAAGGCTCTCCACATTGCTCTGGGTGATSTAGAGATTCTGGCAGCAAGAGTCACCTCAGTTTAAAATTCTACAAAATTGCCTTTTTCCTTCCAGAGAAGGGAGTCTTGCAATAACAATTGCAGGGCATGGAGCTGCACAAATACACTTGGTCTTTCAGTAGGAGACCAGCAATACCTGAGGCCAGTCAGCCTGGAGCAGCCATATAGATTTGATAAAATGAAGTGACAGTGCAAAGCCTACTTTCAACAAAAGAAAGAACTTAAATTACTAAATTACTTAATTTAAGCCAGAACTTAACTATATTAATTTTTAACAGAGGTTCACTGACTAAAGGCCAGGTAGAYRCCTACAGCAAGCACAGGCACAAAAYTTAACCTGYACCAAAAACCTTCTTTTCTTTAAATCTGTCTSTAAAATTACCATGCAAAACATGACACAACAATGTGTCGACCTACAACAATAAATTTCCTAAAACCAGAGCTGACAACACGCTCTAAGTTACCTGGCTGGCATAAATACCTCTTCTTCAGGTTTAATGCACCATTCAACAAGTCACCACAGGCTGCTGKGAATTATTTGTGCATATTTCTGGCAATAGTTATTAGGAAGCCTCAAAGGTCTAGATGTAAATCACAGGGCTGCAGACTTCTTGGGAGAAGTAAGCACAGGTCATGCCAAGACACTCCTTGTGTTAAAGGAAGGAAAGGAAATGTTAAAATAATGCTCTAGATTTGGAGCATTTTCTTTCACTGAAGAGCTGGAAGTTAACAGACCAGCTTCAATTAGAGAAACTGACTGGAAATCRTGGTGGTCAGTTTATTCTTTTTTTTCAACATGCAGCCTCAGGATGTGGTAAAAATGTTTCATTCAGAACTAATTTTAACGAAAACAAGACCAAGGGGAAGATAGTTTTATGTATAAATAAAAATGTTAAAGACAGCAACWTACCTGTCTGATCCAAATTCCAATAAGATGGGGTAAATTTGAATTTGAGAGCTGGATTTGGGTTAAAGAACAAAGGTTTTAAAACTCTTCCAAACTTGGGCAAAGTTAGTCACTTCAAGAAACAAGTTTTACCTGTTCTCCAAAGCCTTCTGGCTTTCTGGTTAAAAATCTAAACTTGGCTACTCTGAAAAAAAGAAACAATTCATGGAATTGAGCCAAAAAAAACTCAATGCAAGTTCAGGCATTTAAATGTATTAAGGCTGACAATGCCACACAATACTGCTCAGGAAATTCTAGCAATCTTTCACTATCTCACAKCAATAAAAAAATGTAGTTATGAGTTTCCCAGAATAAATAATTTAAGTATTAATAAAACTAATGAGCAAGAATGCTGTTGAAAAAGAAAGATGCGTGTTTCAAAGAATTAGTGCATGCAAAATCTTTTAAATTTTCATTTACAAACTTTGAATAGATTTTTATATAGCTAAGAATTTTTTTTTTGTTATCTTAAATCTCTACTTCCATCTTCCTTTTCTCTCTCTGGTATTACACACCACCTAGACCTTCTCTCAGTTTAGCTTCAATGAACATTAAAATAAGCAAATTATTCTATGTAGAGCCAAAATACAGATTGAAAACGGAACTCACTGAAACTGTTGAATTCAGCTGCATYCATCCACCTTTAATTAAGATTACCACAAGTGCAGGTATTCCCAAGCTATCCAAACCATGACCTGCTGAGGAAATTAAGCAACTGGGGTCAGAGATTCCAATTGGAAATTATTTTGTCCATTAGGAAGACATAAAAGGAGATAAATGTAGCAGGGGTGGCTCAGAGAGAAAAGGAAATATAGGAAATATAAATTAGGAAATATAAATACCAGGATAACTGTTAAAACAGTGCTGCAGGGGATTTCCCCCTTGGGAAAGGCAGGAGTAACAAGAGCTACAGCTGTGACCAAGCCTGTCCTCTCCTGCTGTGCGCAAGCAGACACCTTTGTGAGGTGTCTGAGAATGAACTAGAGAGCACCMAAGGTTAATCTGGTATCACAACATGACTTAGAGTGCTTTGGCTGCTGCTCACCTCTGCAGGCTGGGTGGGTGACATGGAAGAGCCTGTCAAAAGCCTGGGCACTTTCAGTTATTCACATCCCCTTCTCCTGAGTACGTACATACTGAAAAAAAMACACAAGTCCATTTTTAGTCGTCTTCACACTGCATGCACATATATATATAAATACACACGCAGACACACACACACACACAACGTCTCTTTGGAAGCCATAAAAACAGATAAGCCATTTTTAGCACTGCTCCAGAGCCTTCTGGAATTGCATTGATCCTACACGAGGACTCTCAGAGAGGACCTTTTGTCCCTGTGGAGACCAGTCCACGCTGTAGCACACCAGTAGCCAAGCAGAAAATCAAACTGGGTCCTTGCTCCAGAATACCTATAACCAAAACACAGGATGGTCTCAAGTGATTTAGATAAGACATTATGAAAAATTTCTTCATKGAAAGGGTTGTCAAGCACAGGCACAGGCTGCCCAGGGAAGAGAATTCACCATTCCTGGGAGTGTTCAAAAAGTGCTTGGACATGGCACTTGAGGACACTATTTAGTGGTTGACAGTGGTGGTGCTGGGCTGACAATTGTGCTTGATGGTATTAAAGGTCCTTTCCAATCTTAATGATTCTATGATYCTGAGAACTGAAGGGAACATAAAGTTGTGAAGGCACTGAAAAAAAAAAATATAAACAGGTGTCCTGTTTCAAAACTTCCTCTTTAATCTAAAAAATGGAAACTTTTGATGGACATCGGGTCGCATGTCCCTGAAAAGAAATATGGAACTCTAGCTTTTATGAAAGTAAAAYATTTCAAAGAAGGCATGCAGGAGAAAGACACCTTAAATATAATATCTTTCCTCAGGATGAATCTCTCTCAGTATCAGTTCATGACACTGTAGGCTTTGATGMTTCTTTGACAAATATTTTCTCTAAGGTGAACTATGAGTTCTTTTAGTTTAGTTTTGCCATTTTATTTTTTTCCACTTTTAGTTTATGTAGGAATTGCACTGAAATGACAACTTCTATTCCCTCCAAACATTCAGAGAYTGGAGAATAAAGAACATTTATTTCTATTAAACTCTACCATTTCTTATTAAGGTTATYCAGGCCACTAGCTCATGACAAAATATCTTGTTCAATGTAATTTCAATTTTGACCTGCAAGAAAATGCAGGAGATACAGTTAAAAGAGCAGTGTAAGTTGTATTTCTTAATTTCCTTAAAGAAAAAGGAAGGAAAACAGAAAGTTATTTATAATTCTTGCAAACTAATGAAAAATTACCCTGATATTTTTGYCTTTTTCTTCTAATTTCAAAATGGCCTGCTATTTTCAAGATGGTGTTTTAAGATTTTGTCTCAAGTTCTTGTCTTMAAATTTTTTGTGAAAGGCAAGTTATCATCTCCTATTCCACATCGCTTTGCATTCTCAAAATAGTAATCTAACACGAGAACACAGTCAGAGCTGTAACAAGCAGAGCTGCCAAGATAACAGCAAGAAATTCCATCCTCTGCTTTCACCTTAGTCTAAAATGTAAAATACAGCATTTTAAAATGTTTCCTTTTGAACTATTATTTGAAGTCTAGATAGAACAAAAAGGTAAAACGGGCTATGCCACCTGAAAAGCCTCAGTCCAGTTTCAATTCAAACTTTTTTTTCCCTCTTTTAATGCATTAGTTAGAGTAGAAATTATTTCCCTGTTCTGCAACTCAATCGCTCCATTTTCCCTTGCCATAAAAATTGGACTGCCATCTTCAGCTCTTCCAATTTTTTCCTTCCATTCATCTGCTGTCATTTCTTGAAGCATAATGTAATGGCAGCTTACACAGTGGTACCAGATAATAGCTTATTTCTTTGCTCTTGCTCTGTTTAACAAGAAATACTTCTTTTTCTATGTGTATGTTGAGCATTTTCTGTAAAATGACTGAAACTTTTTAAGTCTCCATTTGAGCTCTCAAATTTTCTTCAGAAAGTCCCCTAAAAACTTGTATGCATAATTGTACCTTCCACTATTTTAAAATTTTCCAAGAATAACAAGCACGTGTTTTCAGTTTTACTGGAAATTTTTTTTCTTTGTAATGTAAGACTATTGTTTTTGGTCCCTCTATTTCAGGAATTTACAGCCATGAAGTGATACTTACATGAAAAGTTGYCAGTAGTCAAGGCTGAAAGTTACTMATTTACAACYCAAACAGCAGCTGATGCATAGAAAGGAAAGATCTCTCTGTTCTGGACTCAAAATGCATTTAAGCATTCTTAAAGACTAGTGTAGAACAGAAACAGAAATGAAATAATTCCAGTAAAACAAACGAAAAAAACCACCTTTGAGACATTTCTACAAACTAGYCTATTAGATATGGCCTAGTGGAAGGTGTCCCTGCCCWTTGGCAGAGASGGTGGWACTGGATGACCWTTAAGGTCTCTYCCGACTCAAATCATTCCATGATTCTATGACATGTTCTGATTTGTTGTATGTGGTGTAAATGGAGATTTGTATCTTCTAAAAGTCTGCAAGGAGAGGCAAAAGCCTGCAAGCACAGCTAAGAAAAGTAAAAAGTCAAAAAGTAAAAGTAAACTGCGCTGTTTCCAGCACCACATAGAAAAGCCTGTGATTCAGGATAGCAATACTTCACAAAAAAAAAAAAAAGTGTTTGCAGATTAATTTCTTTGCCAAACCTCTGTTTGGCACAGGACTGTGGGGAAGCATTTCAGCTCCAGCCTTGCTTCCTCAGAGCTGCAATTTGTATATTCAATYTGAGAGCCAAGAATTTGGTATCCACCAATTCTCCAAAGAAACTAAGAATATAAAGAAAACATCCAACTCAAGGCCTACCTCAGTAGTTTGCAGTGCAGCACCACTTTGCATCAAAGCAGATGGTATTAATGAGACAGTAACTGATGGCAATCCACACTGTGATTTTGAACACTAAAAACCAAGCAGAAAGCCATACAATTAAGGCTGCTGAGGACAAAACTGATATCCCAGACCACTTGCAGAGCAGTTATTGCAGTAATATGGCTTGAAATAAATGAGCAAATTATAGTATTCAGATTTGTTTCTGTTACAGAAGATAGATGAAGCTTGACACGGATTTTCTTAAACGTGATTAAATGTTTTAAAACTAGTTTACTTGATGAAATGACACATTTTGATGCAATTATGTTCAAAYTGTCTTCTTGGCATGTAAAGCTTACCAGTTGTTTCACTTGAGGAAAGAAATGGATATAGGGATAAAAAGTGGTTGGTAAACCTTGAACTCATTCCTCATGAAAAAAACCCTCCTAAAATGAGAATAATAAAGTGAATTCAATGCTACTGTCAGGGTAACTGGGACAGGGAGGACAAAGGAAGCTTAAAAACTAAAAGAACACTTGAACATTTTCAAAATAATCCACAAAATCCTGAAATCCTGTATATCAAGTAAAAAAAAGAAAAAAAACTAAAAAACTCCTTAGCTAATATTAAGATGATCAAAAATAAAGATTGCAAAGATTGTAAGAAAAATATTTCCTGCACAAGAATATGTTTGACTCTGGGTCTCAGATCAGGGTGCATTTTTTCTTATTCCGCCTTCCCAAACTCAGAAAAAAATACTGTGCTAGGAAATGAATGATTATCCTTCYTGGGTCCATTGAAGTGAACCGTATTGTGTTCATATAATGAACAGCATAGATGAAACAAGAGCCAAGTCTTGTATTGGCTCAGCATTTCAGCTGGGAGATGGATTTCCTAGCAGAACTTGTTTAGACTGCCTATCTCCACACAATTAGACAGGAGGCTGCTGGTGGCAAATTGAAATATTCAAATGTCTATTTAAAGGAAGAGGAGAGCAGAAGGAGTGAGGCAGAATCCACCAGAAGATGGTGGATCATGGAGAAGTAAATGATGCTGCAATTTGAGCACCTGGACATCCCCAGGAATCCCAGATATTTGCCATACAGCACAGACAGTAACTCAGACCTTATCCCTTCACTGTAAGCTCTTCTGATCCAGTTCCCTGCCCTTCTCCCACATCCCAGTTCAGGAGGTAGCACTAAATGAGATGCCAAAAATTTTCCTTTCTATTGACTTGGAAAAGCACAGCTTTTGGGCTCCGTTCAGTCAAGGAACTTTGCCCTGTGCACTCTTCATTGTACTTCAGTACAAACACAAGAGATAAGTTTTAATCCTACTTTGTTTCGGCTGCTACATCAGCCACATGAAAACAGAAACACTTTTTATATATTTATATATAATGGAAGTGAATAATGCTTTCATTTTAGAATCTCAGTCTTACTCACCCCTTCTTGAATTTTTAATGCCTTCTGAATGACTCYTGACCGCAGGTTAAGTCTGTGTTCTTCCTGAATCACAAGTCTTAAGTATTGTAGTCCCCAAAGCTTGTCCTTTCTCTTCTGAAAAATATTTTATCATTGGGTTGTTTTAAAGTCAAATTTGTAACATTTATGTGACAGTAAGGACATTAAAAAACACTGAAAGAGAAAAATATTTTCAATTGAATACAACTATTTTAACAATTTCAATTAATGGCTGCAAAATTTCTTGCTTAAAAKCAATTTTATTTGGGATGGAAACATTCAGATCATCAAAACTTAGAATGAAAGATTAATAGTCCTAAAGTAATCTATCACACACAGTTACGAACTTTTATGTACTTTTTGCATCTGTGGTGAAACTCGGTCCAAGTCATCATCCTAAGCCAACCAAGGGAGAATGAATGATAGGTTCAGTTACAGCAAAAACATGCCAGACCTCTTACAAGCAGGATGTTAAAGGCAGAACCCTAAATTTGCTCTAAAATAATTTTAACAATATTAATGCTATTATAAATTAACCAAATCTGTTCCACAATGCTAACCAAACATTTTTCATTCTAATAGAAAGCTAGAGAATTTTTCTTTAAAATACTTAAAATCTTAGGCAACAGCAAAACAAATTTTCACTCAAGAATATTAGTTAATGGCACATTAAGCCTTTATTTGCCATGAAAGATAAAAGAAACTGCTGCCAGTGAATAAATTCTGTTTCTCATTGGTACAAAAAATGGTGGCCTGATATATCTGAAAACTGAAATTTTCAGCTTGTCCATAAGAAACTCACAAGAGGGACGGGAGCAATATGAAAATTCAGATCTCTTCACAACCGTTATGACTAATTCTGATGAAGGATTATCTTGTGATTACATTTTTAGAAGTCTGTGATGTGCAGATTKTCACCCCCAAAAAAACCCTAAAATGTAAATATTGCATTTACAGCTGCTCCTGTTAGATGTCTAGTTATACATTTATTTGGGAGCATGAGAGATACACCCACTTTCATCTATAYAAGCAATGATACATAATGACTAACACCAGCTTAATTTGTTCTTTGARAAACTCATTGAACCTTTGCATATCAGTTTCTTCATTTGCAAATGCATGTTTTTGCAGTTATTGGCATTCAGAAAAGTCTGTTACTCTTTCAAGTGCATCATTTCTTAAAGAATCTGAGTGCGCACGATGCAGTCATTTGGGAAAGGACGGGTAGAAGAGAAGGAAAAGGAAGGTTATGATGGTGCTTCTCTCCAAGGACTTCTGCAGTTTAAATATTTTATTATGCATTTTTTTTCTATGTTAATTTAGCTTTTTAGCAATTTTATTTTAAATTAAATCAAATTAAATTTAATAAAATTTCACTAATGGTATCATTTTAATTTTAAATTACATTTATTTTTGATAAGGAGAGCAAACCAGTAAAGAGGGGCACTTAGAAACATCAATATGCAGCATCTTCTCTCCCTAGACTCAAGATCATAATCAGCTACATTTCCATGAAAAGATGGATATATTCAGAGTTACCCAAGAACACTCTGGAAATAAACAGTTGTTTATGTGCCTTCTGTCAACATACAATTGAAATCACTGCCAAGCCCTCCTCTTTTCCATCGTGGGCCAATGGCCTCTGGACAGCTGCCAGAGAAGATACAAAGGATGTGCCCATGTCGCTGTCTGGAGCATTTGGTAGCAATTCCACATCACTGCACTGGTGTGTACTGGTGACAGCAGAGGAACCCAACAGCTGCTGGCTCCATGCTGGAGCAGACCCAGAAACTCAGACAAAAAGCAGCCTTGGCAAGACCTGAGATGAGTATATTAAGGACGTGTGTTAGCCCAGCTTCTGGAGTTGCTCTTGCTCAGTCTGCATAAAAACTGGCCCAGGGACAGTAGATCACCTGTGAAAAGCCTTTTGCTATGTGAACTTTGAGCACACTGAGMTATTAAAAAATCCCCTTTTAAAGGTTGCAGTGACCCTTTGATTCTAAAGTTTCCTTGCATACAAATGGCAACTTTTCTCACCTTCCTCCACCAGCTGTCTTACCCCATCCCTCCTTCTAATGAGATTTCCTCTTTTTTTCTCTCTTCTCAGTTCTGTGGCAGTTGACACCATAAAAGATAGATGTAGAACCCTGCAGAACACTACACTAACCTTTCATGCTGATAGAGGAGACCTTTTAAAGGTTTGGCTGCAGCCTGCAGACTCCACCAATGGTGATTTGGGCTATCACCTTTACAGATGCATAATGAATTTCAAGGATCCGAACATCCATACTGGACACRTCTTGTTTGGTTGTCAAAAGGGACACCAGGGACCTCCTCTGACTCCCATTATATAGATCATCCATCTAAAGAATTCACAAGGATCTGCAGAAACCATATTCAATTACAGGGACCRAAAAGTGGGGTCTTTTCTTTTTAAATTATTGCGGCAATGTCAAAGGCAAACTGAAAGATCTTTAAAACATTTCTGACACACCAAGTACCTTCAAGAAAATCATGTCTTTGACCTCATTTAATGCATTTTACATTACTTTCACCMCCTTAGTGTCATGCACTCAGGTAATTGAAGTACTTCTGATTTCTTTCCTGTTCTACTTCATTTTGCAGCATCTCCTCAGCTGTACAGGCTTTTGTGGCAGGCAACTGAAACACATCTCTTAAGTTGGTTAAGAGCTCTTTATGACAAAATCAGCATGGAAGAGGCAGGGTTCATTATTTTCACTGCTGTGAAAAYGCATTTCTGCATCATGGGCTATTGAACAGAATTTCAATGTTGATCAAAGCAACATCATTCCAAAATTAATATGATAGCTTATGAAAGTAGAAAATTATTCAGATTGAGAGGTCTCAGAATGAAACTGGTGAGAAAGTCATGCAGCATCACAACCTGCAAAGCAGCTGCTGAGCTTAAATTTCACTTTTGCGCAGAAAAAGGAGCTAATGCCAGTTGTGAAGTTCAAAGGATTGGCACTGCAGACAGGAACAGTTGAAGAGTTTATCACCATTGCTTTTCAAATATTATGTATGCACAGGAGAAGAGAGAGGATTTCTTTGTAAAAAAATTAGTATGCTATAACACATGAAGTTTGAGGATGGAATTTTAACAGATTAGATCAAAGACACTGATCTCCATCTTGTTTATGACAGCATTAAAAAAAAATCCATTTGAGATCCCACTAGTACATAGAACCAAGTTAAGTTTCCTGTAGTAATCAGTGTATTCATCTGATATTGAGCATTTCAGTGACAATACTAGAACTCTGCATTTGCAGTGCTTTAGTTGTATAAAAGACACAAGCTTATAAATATCTTTCCATGGGAAAGAAACAGTTCTATAAYACAACAGCCTGGGTAGGTTTTACAGTAATGTCTTTTCTTGTTGTCTCTTCATTTGGTAAAATAATTTAATAGTTTCTCACCATCTTTCCCCAATAAAAAAAAAAAAAAATCTCTTTGCTCTTATTACAGATTTATTGTGTCCTCAAACCATGAAAAAAGCAAGCTGAATTTGACATTGCATAGTGATTTTCAGTCTTATAATTTCAAACTAAACCCAAGTACACAACAAACCCAATGTTTACGAAATCCAGGATGTGTTAGAGAAATACATGCCATTAAAAGAGACTGCTCAGCATCGCTTTACCTTGGTATTGCTTAGAAATATCACACGTGAAGCACAGAGTTGAGCTCCATCCCTCTGCTGCTAATTCYTTCAGATTGGGATGGGGAAAAAATGGAAGTAGCAGCATCTACAAGAATGTGGCTCTGCCACTTTTATCTCTGAATCACCACTTTCTTCCTTCAGTTCAACTACCCAAGTTATAGCAGAATAATTTTGTACACTTTGTGCAATACTGAAAAGCTTTTCTGACTCTCATTTGCATGTCTTTTGGCCACTTTTTTAAGCTCATAAAGTTAGAACAGTATCATAGTTTTGAGCTTCTCAGCAGTAGGGAAAAAAAGCAGAATATGGTCTCTGCTGAGACCAAAGAAATAGAGGGAATAGAAGCAACAAAATGTACAGTAATTGCTTTAGGGCTTTATCTTTCTAGCTYTGCTGTGAAAAGACCTCATACAAATAAAGTGATTAGCTCATGTTACAGATCATTCCTAAAAAAGCCCAGAACTTCTCCAGCAAGAGCTCACTTGAGATAGGGCTGCTTTTGGAGACATTAATTGTTCATGCATCAGAGTCCTCCATAAGTAGGAAAAGTAAAAAAAGAAAGTACATGCAAGCACTTCTTGTCCTTTCCCAGAAAAACTGAACTAATGGGCTGCAATGAGATCTACATAAGCCAGCCACAGGACACCCACAGCTGCAGCAACAACAGAAGGATGTGTTGCAAGCTGGTAAGAGCTGTGGGAAAATCCATCTAGCACAGGCTGAAATTTCATTCTTGCACAGCAAAGGAAGGCAAAGCAAAAAACTCCCCAGTCAATTGTCACTTCAAAGCCCACATAGAGGCAACTGTACTTACAAGATGCATATTTAGAACAGATGTTCRAGACAAAGCTCATATATCAGCACGGATAACAGGTCAATTTTAYCTTCAGTTTTAAAACATCTAGAGTTTGATTTAATGTAATAGCAACAAGAGATGCAGTATCACTAGCTGTAGAGCAGAAAAGGGTGAAATATTTCTCATAAAAATGTCAAACAAATAGAAATTGTTCAAATGGTATTTGGTCTGCATTTCACTACCACAGTGAAAATGCAGGTTACTTGCAGGATTAATCACCACGAGAAAACAATTGTATTTTTATGGCTAGCTGGTATATTTCTCTAACCCATTTCTACAAGCCTATGTGGTTACCTCCTGAATTTCAAACCTATATGTTCCTTAAATCAAGTTTTTGCTGCTCAGATTTTTTCAAAGTAACAATTGCTCTTTAATTCAGGATGGGGCAATGTGTTCTTCCAAGCCTTTTCTAAGACAGTAATCAGTGCATTTTCTGAAGAGACTGATCTGCTCAGAGTGTTCTCAGCTGCTGGATCAGTGTAACCTTCTGAACCTTCAGAGTACAACTTACACCCAAGGGAAGTGAACACATTACCTCCACAACTCTTACATTCCATTGTGTGCAGTAAAAAACCCTGAAGAAATACTTATGACAACAATTGGTCATGCTGCAAAATTCAATTTTGTCTC